TCTCGTCCCGGCGCTCAGGGCTGGGTTGTCAGCTGTCGGGACTCCGGAGAAGTCTGGCGAAGTCTCGGCCCCGACACCGCCGCCGCCCACCGAGACCTGCACCGCCGGCAGCCCCGGTCCCCAACCCCCGCAGCCCGTGTCCCGCAGAGGCCGGGCTGGCTCTTACCTTGATGGGCATGTTCGCGACGGCAGAGGCGTGGAGGCGTCGTGCGGGCAGGAGCAGCGTTCCTCGGGCCAGCGACGCGAGAATCATGTTGCCGCCGCAGGTGCGCGTCTATATATAGCGACGGCGGATCTGGGCTCTGAGGAGGCGGGAGGAAAGGGGGCGTGAGGAGCAGAAAGACAACAAGAAGGAGAAACTACTCGCTAGCGAAGACAGTGCGTCCACCCCTGGCGACGGGACAAACTGCGAACTGGAAACCGGCGGCCATTTTGGCTCCGGCTGCGGAGCCGCAGCGCCCGGCCGTACTCCACCGCCGGAGCCAACATGGCGGAAGGAGGGGCCCAGTGCCGGCAGGCAGGCAGGCAGGCAGGCAGCAGCAGGTGCCCACCCCCACCAGGTGTGCGAGAGTTGCATCAGGCCTCTCGGGAGGAGCGGCAGGCCCGTGTGATGTACACACTGCGCCTGTTTGTACCCACAACAGGACCCGGGTCCGATTACTGCGCGCGGATCAGGTATCCCGCGGCCCCGGGGCGTCGGGCCTCTCGTTCAGACAGGCGTGCAAGGCCACAGGCAGCCCCCCACGTCTCCCCCACACACCCGGGGTCCCCCCCGCCTGTCTCCTCACACGCCTGGAATTGTTTTAAAAAATGGTATTAAACGTATGAAGAATTTACAAATCCAACCAGAGGATCAGAAACAGGAACAAGGAGGAAGAAACAGGAGCAGTCAGCTGCCGGAGGGGATGAAGTAAATTGCGTGATCAGAGGGTATTTTTTACAGATGTGTAAAATCAAATGTGCTCCTTGCTTTAGCATTTTTCACATCTTTTATGGAATTTAAATAGTGTTTCAACTCCACCTCAAAAGTACTATAAAGGGGAGTACTATTAGACCACTTTGAGTTGTGACTGTGAAGTTCACCCAGAATGGCTAATAAATTTACTATAATGCATACCAATACATTTATATTTACATCTATATTTATATTCATATGTGTGATACGATTTTTCTGTGTACTGTTCTGTTCTAGTTTGTTCTTTGTGTGTCCAGACTGTGAGAAACTCTTTTCGTGCACCCCTCACTGTACTGATTGTATTGTATGTATTGTACTATTATTATTATTATTATTGTATCATTCGTCACACTGCGGCTGTGTTGTCTGTGTAAAGCTGCTGTTGCACTGCAATTTCCCTCACGGGATCAATAAAGTATCTATAAATCAATGCTCTTTTTCCAATGTTTCTATTACATATTACCATAAAATATCGAAATCCTTAAATCTAAATAAGCACCTTTGACTGCCTGCAAACAAAACTCTCCACGTCCGTCCGGAACAGCTTCACAAACACCCGAGCAAGTAACAGGTTTATTCCAGGCGGAAAAGAGAGAACACACAACGTTCCGGCTGTGAGGCCTTCTTCAGGCGTGAGAGAAACGTTGCGTTTTCTCTCTTCTCTTCTCCACCTGGAATAAACCTGTTTCTTGTTCCCTTTGCAGCCTGACCCTGCGGACGCCGCTCCCCACCTGCGCTGCTTCACAAATCAGGTTCCCCTCAGGTGCGCTGGGATTCCCGGAGCCGGTTGCCCTGGCGACCGCGTCATAAGCCCCGCCTCCCCGTGGTGATGTAATGACCCGCTTTCCTGGAAGGATGAGCCAGCGAGAAAATAAACGGCCCCGGATGACCGTTGCCGTGGTGACCGAGGAGGAAGGAGGAAGTGAAACTGGAGCGGGGAGAGACGCGGTGCCCCTGAGCGCTCTTTGTGGGTCAGTGGGCGCAGAGTGCCCCCTCAAACACACGGGCGCGCGTTTCACCGCCAGCCTGGTGGTGTCCAGCTACACCTGCGGTGTTTTCTAACACACAGCCTGGCGGGTCTGGGGTTAATCTGGGCTGACCGGTCCCCCTGCACGCCTCTGGGCCGACTCGTTCTTGTCCGTAAACTAGTACCACTCAACTGCGGCCCACCACGCAGAGCAGGGCGGTGCTTTCAAACCTGGGAGCGGGAGGCCCTTCTGTACACAGAGGGTGGCGGGAGTGTGGAACAAGCCGCCGTGTCCATAGACGGACAGGTGTGTGCCACAGGACACCCCGATGTCTTTCAGGAGTCAGCCGGATGAGAGCCGGGGACCAGTTAGCAGACAGGCTGAGGGGCTCCTCTCCTCCCCTGTTTCTCTGTTCGTGACTAGTGGGGACACGTCACCCCGACTGGCAGATTCTCTGACGCGGCCGGTATTTACAGACGCGCTGTCCACAGGCTCTGATGCGGGTGGTCACTCCCCTGTCCCTGTTACTGAGCCAGAGGTCGGGTCAGAGCCCAGCCTCTTGACGGAACCTTCCAGTTCCTCTGTAACTGAAACCCAAGCGCACCATTGTTCGAGAATCTTTTCAACAGCAGCCAGGAACGGGCGGAGGGAGGAGCAGTTCCTGTAAGAGACTGGGTCAGGATGAGAAGGAACAGGTGAAGGTCTATTTCAGAATCGCCACTCAAAAACTCAACTCAACTGAGGCACGAACTAGGGCGGGAGCGGCGAGGGGCACAGAGCCCCAGAACCCGAATCCGGTACAATAACAGAAGGACAGACAATGAAATGTGGGCTATTTCGAAGTCGCCAATGTGAGATAAAAAGTCGCAATTGCGAGATACAAAGTCACAATTCTGAGATATAAAGTCGCAATTCTGAGATACAAAGTCACAATTGCGAGATGCCATAGCGCGTTGTTTTTACTCCCCGATAGAAAGGGGCTTTCATACAGGTGTGCCGAAACAGCGTGGAATAAACCGTGTTCCCTATGGAGAAGCGGGAATGTATTTACCACACTCCGTAAGGGCTCTTTAGAAATCCCCCGGGTGATTCTTGAACATAGTGACGAGCTGCGGGAGTTGTTGTCAAGAAAAACAACGCCGTGTGATCTGTACCATAAAACGTGGGTTCGTTCGATTCCTCATTCTGTGGCGGAACCAGTTGTTCCGCAAAGTGTGCGTCCTGGGGGACGTATTTTACTGCTGTACCAGCTCCCGCTTCTTCCGGTCCATGCTTCCACCACAAACACCACCGGTGGGCCTCTCGACTCGGCGTGAGTTTTTCCCCACAGCGACACCAGGACGCTGATCCCGCGCGTGTGCCTCCCACGGTTCCTCCAGCGTGTCTCGCTGCGTGTCGGCCCCCGTCTCGGGATGAAGCTCATCACGCACAACATGCTGACCTCGCACGTGAAAGGGGTCACCAAGGGCTACCCGCTGCTGATTAAAGTAAGGCTGTTAATTACCCCCTGCTCATTAGGGCGCATGTGTTCACGCAAGGACAGTTCATTACAGACCGATACTATGGGGGGGTGTTTTTCAGTTAAAGAAGTTGAAAATAGGTATGACCGATGGCGCCCAAACTAAACCACTGTACCTTTTAACAGTCTTTACAATGACTGACAATATAGCGAGCACTGCGCTGTTAAAAGTGTGAAGTGTACGACAGAATCTGCCTCCATGCGCGTCTCTCTGTCCTGACGGGCCTCTCTGTGTATCGATTCAGTTCAATTCCAGGTGCTTTATTGGCATGACCGGTGAGTACAATCAGTGTTGCCAGAGCAAAACAAATACAGTTCACATAAAACAACAATCTACAGACATTTACAATAAAGACACGGTCATGAGATATTCACATATAAACATCTGGAGCATTGGTGGGAGACAGACTCACTGTTCCTCAGGCTGGGACAGGAGATCACATACTGGGCTGCCAGTTCAATTGAGTTCCCTCCTCCCTCTCCCAGTAGAATTGGGACCCGTTGTGATTCTGGCAGGTGTGGGAATTCTGGGATTAGATTTCTGAATTTCGGGAAGAATGTTTCTCTAATTCCAGAGTATCTGTCACAGTGCAGTAGGAAGTGCACCTCTGTCTCCATTTCTCCCTGTTGGCAGTGGGAGCACAGCCTGTCCTCTCTAGACAGCCAGGTCTGCCTGTGTCCAGTTTCTATGTCCAGGCTGTGCTCACTGAGCCTGTCCTCTCTGGGCAGCCAGGTCTGCCTGTGTCCAGTGTCTGTGTCCAGGCTGTGTTGTGCGTTGTGTGTATTGTGCCGTGATGGGGTTGAGTCTGAGTAACGAGTCTCTCTGTCTCTCTGTCTCCCTGCTCAGGCCACGGAGGTGCAGGTCAGTGAGGTGGAGTTTAACCCGGAGTTCCTGTCCCGGATGATTCCCAAGCTGGAGTGGGGGGTGCTGGTGCAGGCGGCCGACAGCGTGAGTCAGCTGTCCTGTCTCGGAGAGACCGCTGGGGCCGCGGCCGGGCTGTGACCCTCCTCCTTTCTCTCTCTCCAGCTGGGCCACCTGAACGACCTTCCTAACGAGCTGGCTCCTGAGCACGAGAAGGACGAGGAGTTCCTGCGCAGGGTCCACCGCGTGCTGCTGGAGGTGAGCTGGTACTGCGCACACTCACTCTC